GGGAGCGCTCCCGCCGATGCAGGCCCCTCCCTCCGCTGCCTTATTTATGGAACTGATCTGCTGCCTTCCAAGAAGGGGTTGCGGGGCGGAGCTCCCTCTAGTTGGAAACAGTATGTGATGGGCGTGTGAGTGTCTCGGGGCTTGTCTGCCCGGCCCGACAGGTTTGGGGCTGTGGTGCCACATGGCTCTTTTCCTAAGAAGCTTGAGGGAGTAGTGGGAGCTACCACATGGGCCCATTGTAGAGTGTGTCTTTAAGGGTTAGGAAATAATGGGAAATCGACCACAGACACTCCTGTGGCCTTCCTTCTGTCAGCCCAGCCGCATGTCACCGGCACCTCTAACTTTGGACATGCAGACAGCCCTTACCTGCATAACTGATTTTAGCCCTTTTAACCGCCATGGTGGTTCGGAAGACTTACTGGTTCCCTCTTCCCTTTTGAAGGACTTAAAGGAGAAGAAGGAAGTTGTGGAGGAGGCAGAAAATGGAAGAGACGCCCCTGCTAATGGGAATGCTGTGAGTGTCCTCATTGCTCCTGACCCCTGGCAGCTCCCGCCTTGAAAAGTTTTTCCTGCTGTAACAGTGGGCTTAGCCCAGGGTGGGAAAGGAGACCAAGGCATTGGCAGTTCTTGTGCTGAGGCTCCCCACAGTCTCAAAGGTGGCCTGGGGCTGTAGAAGCCTCTGGAGGGAAGGATTGGGGGGTGTCGGGAGTGATACTCTGTCCAGCTTTGGATCTGCTGGTTAATGACCTGGTATGTTTTCTGCTGAGGAGAATGAGGAAAATGGGGAGCAGGAGGCTGACAATGAGGTAGATGAAGAAGAGGAAGAAGGTGGAGAGGAGGAGGAGGAGGAGGAAGAAGGTGATGGTAAGTCTAAGCTGTCTTTCCCCCTTTCAGGAACCTTTCCTGGCCTTGCCTGGCAGAGGGGAATGAATTGGGCCCCTGGAGTTGGGCCCATGATACCTGGGGGCCAGTGGAGTGTGTCCTGCACCTGTTCACACGCTCGTCCTGCTGGACAGCAGTGCCTTGTGTGACACTGAAAGCCACTGATATGTTGGGCTGGCCTCTTGTTGCAGCTGCTTGGGTAGCTTCACTCTCTGCATGAGTGGGTGAGATGGGTGTGAGTATACCCTGACCTGGCGAGTTTGTTAGGCAGCCGAGGCAGGTCAGAAACGTCCACTGACACAACTGTTACTGGTGGATTTCCAAGGGGGCAGGCAGTAGGAGGGCAGTGTGGTTTATACCTGGTCCTTCATTCTTTCTCTACAGGTGAGGAGGAGGATGGAGATGAAGATGAGGAAGCTGAGGCTGCTACGGGCAAACGGGCAGCTGAAGATGATGAGGTAGGTTTTGGCTCAAGGAGGGGGAGGGGCATGGCATTCCAGATGTCCTCCTTGTCTCTAGCCAAATCGTAGTTGGAGGGAATGATTGTGACTTTGTTGCTGGGGAGATTGTGTGGTTCTTTGTGTATTCCCTTGTCTAAAACAATACCAGAAAGGGCCTGGGTCCAGGTTCCCAAAGTATCTTAGCAGGCTGTGGACTTACCAGGGTTGGGTCTTGCCCCTGTCACAGGAGCTGAGGCAGTTAGGTGGGTAAGGTTGGTGTCCTTGGAGGAGTCTTGACAGTCTTTCTCTGCCCAGGATGATGATGTTGATACTAAGAAGCAGAAGACCGATGAGGATGACTAGACAGCAAAAAAAGGAAA